CCCCAAAACCCCAAAACCCCAAAACCCCTTGAGAGTATATTAATGAGAATTTTTAAAACGAGTATTAATGTAAAATAAGAATATTTATTATGATTCTTTGAGATATTTCATCAGCAGGATCCTAATAAATATTATAAAATTACTAAATCAACTAATGAAAAGAATCTCAAACACTCTGCTTTCTAGTTTACTAGTCACAGTTGCTACTGTCTCACAACTAGCTTATGCTGAGAAATGCTACGCAGTCGCATTCAGTTCAGGTTAAGAATCTTCAGCTTATCAAGTAGGAGCCCTGCTTGGACTGCTTAAAAAATTGCCAGCTGATCAAATGCAGTATCATGTCTCATCAGGAGTAGCTGGAGGTGCTATTAATGCTGTTTTCCTTGCTTCTCAGGCTTAAGGAAACGAGCAAGCTGCAGTTGATAAAATGCAAAAGTTTTGGTTAGATGCTGGAGTTAGTAAGCTATACTAAGATTGGTGGGGTGGTGTTGTCAATGGACTCCTTTTTTAAGGAGGATTGTATGATAGCGCTCCTCTCAAAGACTTTATCACAAAAGAGTTTTCAGGCTTGAAAATGGTAAGAGAAGTTTCAATTGGTATTGTAGATGCACTTAAAGGTCAATACAAAGAATTTGAAGATAACGATCTTTCTCAAGGAACTAGCCTAATAGACTCATTGTACTCTTCATTCGCTATCCCAGGTTTCTTCTCCCCAGTTAGTGCTTTTGGCTCTAAGTTTTTTGACGGTTCAGCTGTTTATGAGATTGATATCCCAACTGCAATCAACAAATGTTTAGAGAAGACTACTCAAGAAAATATCGTTGTAGATATTCTTTTGACTTCCTCTGCTACTCTCTAATAAGTTGATGCTAAAGACTATAGATCTATTGGAATGCTTTTTAGATTCCTTGAAATTAACTCATTCTATCACTCTATGGATGGTCTCCTGAGAGCCAAATTCGCATATCCCTAAGTTAACTTCAGATATGTTATTTCACCCACTAAGTCTCTCCCTTCATCATGGAAGCCACTAGTAAGATCATTTTGTATTTTTAATGCTTTATAGAGCCTAACTTAACAAGATATCTAAAATATCATCAATTAAGGAATTCAGGATGCTTCAGCTGCTGTTGAAGAAGGATAAGGTGCTGGTTTTGATACTTTAGTCAAGTATTATAAACTTAAAAAGACTCAAAGCAAGGATATTGAGGGAGTAACTCTAGAGGAATTCAAGCAAAAGCTCCAAGCAGGTGCATATGATGTCTTCATTGATTACGAAACCGATCCACTCTTCCTTTAATACAAATGATACAAGTTTAAAATATCGCTAAATTGACATCTAAATTTATATCAAGCAATTAATAAAAAACTTTAAGTTAACATATTAAAATAATAAAATCTTATAAGATATGTAATATTTATATCATCGTTTGTGCTAATTAAGTTAAATTCTCAAGAGTCTATTACACTTTCATAAACTGTAAAATATTCACTTTTTAATTCATTAAATTTAGTCTTGTTCGTTTTTCATTGAACTATTATTGCTATTTAATCTAGTGGGAGATCCCCTGTTTAATGGAGTGTATACTTTATTTTGATAAGCTTTCTGGTTTCTAAAGAATATTTTTGAATAGCCTAGTTAATTAGGGTCTCCTCTCTTTTGCTTTCTTGATGACTCAATAACTGATTGTACTCTATTCTTAATTGTAATTGGGGCTTGTGATGAAAATCCAGAATATTCGTTAAAATTATCAGTTATTGAACCAGGTCTTTAACTCGTCATTCCAAATGTTGAATTTTAACCTGGCTGATTTTAGTTTATGATTGTAATATTCTGCTGGTTTTCAAATATGATGTTAGTAGTGTTATTTGTAATATAAGTATTCTTGGAGATATGTTTTTTGAAACTTCTCTTTATTGGTGAAAGTTTTTGCATCGTTTTTCTCTGGAATGGCTACTTTAAAGGGTTGAAATTAGACTCGAAGAACTTAATTTGGTAAGGTCTTGCCTTGAAATTAAAACCATCTTAAGTTGAATTCTATTATTAAGTTCTAAATTCATTGGGATTGTTTCTAAGCTTAGAATGTATTCTAGGGTAATGGGATTCTGCATTATTTTTCTTTACATACTCATCTCCCTAATTAATGAATAATTTACGATTGACTTAAGAATTATTATCCTCAACACTTTCAGCCAAAAAATAATTCTAGGCTTCTTTCATTTTATTCTAGCTTTTATCATCTTTTTCAGTCCTAAAGCTATCTGGACCTAGAGACTATTGATCCTCTTCAATCACCTTTTCCTCCATTTAATTATCTTGCTATAATTCATACATTCTCAGAGCACTATCCTGATTATCTCTAAATGTATCTCTCTAAGACCCTTTCAATTAGTATTCCTAGGAATAGTTTATATTTTATGGTGGTATTGCAACATATTGATTTTCTATTCTTTCTCTAGAATTACCTTAAATACCATTTATATTCACTTTATCGAAACTAAATATATTTTGCTCTCTGAATTCATTTTATCTTCTCTTATTTTCAAAAGCTAATTTTATTATAGACTTCTTGTAATCAAAAATGTTTTTAATTTATGGAATCATTTCTTTTATTATTTTTATAGAATCTAGATCTAGCAAGTTAAAGTCAGGTAAATGTCGCATTTCTATGATTTCTTAGAATTTTTCCCTTCTTATTAGTTTAATTACCACTTATAATACACCTATTTTATGATAAACTTCTTCATTTAAGTTAAGTAGATTAGGATCATTGAGTGTACACTATGAATCATCTATTATAAATTGCTTTTCTGTCCTTATTTTCTTTTTAATAAGTTGAATTATTTTCCTTAAAACATTTTTGACATTTGCTAAATTTATCTTCATTGAGAATAAGTCCAAGCCAGTGTTACTATTATTTGGTGAGTTTGAAAGCTAGATTGAAGATTTATTAAGCTAAGATTAATTGATTAAAATTCTAGGAGAAGTAAATGCAGTGTTTGATTATGTTCTCGGATTTTGCTTTATTTTGATATTATTGCTATGAACGCTCATACTCGAAGTCTTAATAAACTTTGATAGGAATTAGGGATCTTTATTTTGATTACTTGTAGATTCATTCTTAGACCCCATCGTCTTTTAGGCATTTTATTTAGTGCTATCAAATGTTTTTAGAAAAGAAGAGTTGTTTTCATCTGAAATATCATGCTCATTAAGAGTATTAAGCTTTTTGTCATCCTTTAATTTAGTATCAACTTTTATCCTAGCAATTTCATTTTCCTTTTTATCGCTTTTTATTATTTGTCTTTCCTTGATAAATCCAATAATTGTTTTGAGAAACCAACTCAGGATATTAAACTCATCATCAATCGTAATACTTTAGGGTATATCGTCAATCATAGATTTAACATTTGATCGCTTAAAATTAATTAGTAGCATATTACTTGAGTTACCTCCTCTCGGAGATTTATCGGCATTCTGTTATATCCCATAGGGAACTTAAAGATTGGTCTTACTTCGAGAGTTACCGTTTAAGCTTAACCCTCTATTAAAGCCTAGTCCTGAAGGACAAGGTAAATTTTAAGACTATTCATTAATTAGAGTAATGTTAGGAGTTTAAGTGACACTTAAATTAGGTTATGCTACGCTAGCTGGTTTCTCTACAGAGTTACTTCTAATGTCTTAAACTACTTTATTGTAAAAATTCATTTGAGTTTTTAAACTGTTTACATCGTCCTTCATTTGTTTGAATTTTTCTTGAAACTTTTTAGACAGGTGATGCTATGATTGTTCTGTCTTTTATTGATCGGCATTCTTTGCAATCTCCACTAATTGGCTTCTTTTATGGTCAATAAAAGTATAAAACTGTTCTCTTCTTTTGTTAGGAGCCATTTGTTCGTGTAATTTGCCATCAATATATTTATGAAATCTATCAAATAGCCTGTCTCTGTATTTATATTTAGCTAGTTCTTTTAATAGAGTTTTCCAATTTGAATATAACAGAGTTGAATTTTTAGATTAGCTTTTGTCATTATTTTGATTATTGAGTTAGTTTTATATTAGATTGTTTTTAGGAGATAAAAAGTCCTAGTTATTATTTGACATAGACGAAGAATATTAACCATTGCTTCCTTTAATTGGATTCGATTCCTTTTATGAAAGAATCTTTCTTGGAAAGCTTTAAGAAGAGTGCTAAGAGATATTAAGATTTTTAGGCATCATGGCTGGAGTTTAAATCTTAGGGGTTTCGTTGCTTAAAATGAACTTATTTTTGCTCAAAATTTACCAATATTTAATTGCCAATTTAAGAAGCTCTATCTCTGTTTTACTTAGGTTCTTGAAAGCCCCCTTTTCTTTAAGATTGATTTCAATGTCGTCAAAAGCTTTCATTGGTATAATAGTTGGAGATTAAAGTAGAGAGGATAACTGATTTGAACTAAAGTGAGGAATCTAAATGGTAGGTGATGTTACTGATTTTCTTTTATTAATTGAAATGTTGTTGTTGTTATTGATGTTTTACATCATTTCTTATATGAATTTATTTTATCCGGAATTATTCAATTCTTTATAATTTTCAATGCCTTATTTACAATATGCCTTTAAAATCAAGGCTTATGGGGTTTTGGGGTTTTGGGGTTTTGGGG